AGAGAGAAAATAATGAAATTGAGAAGTATGCAAATTTGTTACCTTTAAAAAAGTATCTATCGAACATTTAGAACACGAAACGAACAATTATCAAACTTCGCAAGTGGAGAGCAAGATACTTATTTTGAGAAAAATCACATTGCATCTGCTCTTTGCTTACCTATTATTCGTGACAACAGCGTGGTTGGATGCATGTACTTGGAAAATAGAGACACTGAAGGGGTTTTCACTACTGAAAAGGTGAACATTGCAAAGCTAATTATATCTATCAGTATTGAAAATGCTGAAATTTTCAACTCAATCAACAAGTCATACACAAGATTTCTACCCTATGAGTTCCTGAAACTATTAGGCAAAAATCATGTCACTAAGATACAACTTGGTGACGCTGTTTCTCGTGAGATGACCGTTCTTTTTTCAGATATATATGGATTCACTGACCTCATGGAAAGACTTTCTGCAAAAGAAGGATTTAATTTCATTAACCGACTTCTAATGAGAGTAAGTATGAGCTGCTGTTTGATCTTTTCAACTCGGTACATTTTTTCAAAGATTGGACCTCCTATATCAAAGTATGGTGGTTTTATTGATAAGATATTGGGCGATGGTATGTTGTGACCGAAGATTGTACAATTATTGCTTACCATTTTAAATAACAGGTATTATGGCCTTATTCACCGAGCCTCAGTCAGCTATTCAAGCCTCTCTTGAAATGATGTCTGAACTCGAATCCTTCAATATAGAAAATATTTCTAGCATCAAAATTGGAATTGGAATTTCAAGTGGAGTCGTTAGCTTGGGAACAATTGGATTCACACAACGATTAGACGCCACAGTGATTTCTGATACAGTGAATATTGCATCAAGATGTCAATCTCTCAACAGAAGTTTCAATACCCGTATTTTGGTAACAGAAAGTGTGATTAATGCCTCGCATTTGGAGCCTGGAGATGTCGCATGCGCAGTATATTTGGGAAGATTTATTTTGAAAGGAAAGCAATTATTCAAAGATTTGTATGAAATCAGAGAAAAGAGAGCAGTGTCATCATCTAATCGATGCTTAACCTTAATTGACGAAATGGTTCGCAGTTTTCAAAGTAGAAAATTTGATCATTGTTTGAATTTGGGAAAGAAAGCATTGGTCACATTTACTGAAGATCCATTCGTGAAATCAATTTGCGACCTGTATTTACAAGCTTGCCCCATTTATGGCAATAGCATTCTTCCAATTCATTGGTCTGGAGAAATCAGATTATCAAAAGATGGAGAACCAAAACCTTATTATTAATCGTCTTGGTGCATTTTCCTACAGATCTCCGCAGTTCTCGAAAAACAAAAGCCGAGTGCAATTTTCTAGCCTCAGCTTATTTGTTTGCAAAGTCCTATATCCCAACACAATCGCACCATCATTTCATCTGAATATGACAAGTTGACATACGGCTAAATGCCTAGCCAAATCAAATCATTTAATACAAAAATCAATCACCATGTTGTAAATTTCAGTAATGACCTGTCAGATCCCCTGTGTGGCCCAATTCCGCAACAACCATGCTTTTCACTGTGGGATGTTTTTAGTGTCCAATGGTAGTATTGGCTTTGAACATCCAGAGCTCAATGATAGAGTTAGCTTTGAAATTTCATTTTCCGATCCATAGAGTTCATGGACATTCAATAGAATGAAAGGCGAATGGTTTATTAACAAGTTCTCACACATAAATGTACACTGGACCGGCTCAAAGTTATCTCTTACGTAAGATTGAATATTTTGATTGAGACAACAACATCAATAGAAAAAATCACTCTTCTAAAAGGATGGATACAAATTAATTTCAAACATGAAACACTCTCGTATGGGTTTTCCATCAACAACAAATGGAACAAGCATCAACTCTTTCACACAGTGTGTGCATGGTTTTGTCGAAGATTTTTTACACATAGACCACTCCTGGAACAGCTCCATAAGCTCCATAAGTCGTTGGCACTGAAGTTGCATAATAAGGTGATGAATAACCATAATAAGGTGAAGCATATGATGAAGTGTAAGGTGTAGCATAAGGTGTAGCATAAGGTGTGGAATAACCATAATATGGAGTTGAATAGGCAGGAGCTGCTGTTGGATACGAACTACCATAGGGTTGAGAAGCTCCATAGACATATGGCGAAGAATAACCACCATAGTAAGGACTTGAAGCAGGATATCCGGTTCCATACGAATAACCACCACCAGGTGTGATTGGAGGATAATAAGGTTGTTGCTGTGGGGCATAGGTTCCGTATGGAGGTGTTGTGGAATATTGAGGTTGAGAATAATATTGGCCACTGCCATAATAAGGTTGTTGTGGTTGTTGCTGTGGTTGTGGATAATAATAAGGCTGTTGCTGTGGTTGTGGTTGATAATACTGAGGTTGATAATATTGTGGTTGCTGTTGAGGATAGTACTGAGGTTGTTGTTGTTGAGGTTGATAATATTGAGGTTGATAGGTTGTTGTTTGAGGATAGTACTGTTGTGGTTGTTGTTGAGGATTGTACTGTTGCTGAGTGGAATAGGTTGCGGTGCTCGAATAAGTCGATTGAGGATAATACTGTTGAGGCTGAGGAATCTGCACTGGTTGTGGTTGAGGTACTGGTTGTGGTTGTGGTTGAGGTACTGGTTGTGGTTGAGGTTGAGGTACTGGTTGTGGCTGTGGTTGAGGTACTGGTTGTGGCTGAGGTTGTTGCCCACCACTCGAAGTCGATGTTGGATAAATCACTGTGATCGTAGTTGGAGGACTCGCATTCGGTGGATACTGAGCACTGGTGGTAATCACCGTTGGATTTCCACTTGCTTGATCGGCTGTTGCAGTTTGTTGTTGCTGCTGTTGTTGAGGTGCTTGCTGTGGTTGTGGTTGTGGCTGTTGAACTGAATAGGTATTCTGAACAGCAGGTAGTGGAGCTTGCTGAGTGATGGAAGCTTCACCTCGAAGCTTATTCGTACTCGCTTTGACACCTTCAAGGAGTAATCCACCAAACAAGAAGAAGGAAGGATCAGAGGAGGACTCGAACCTTATCCTCGAAGTAGTATGCGAAAAAAGAGCACACCACACAAAGATGGAAACAATGAGACAATGAATGAGGAGAGAGGGTGAAGAGCTTTTCATCGTATGGATTGTGATGCTGTTAGCTAGCACTTCGTACGAAGAGAGACAATGAGTGAGGGGATGGGTGTGTTGAAAGGGTTAAAAAAGGAACTATTAGCTGCTTCAAGAAGAAGAGAGGTTTTTTTCGAGTGTGTGAATATAAATCATGAGGAGTGTGTGGCGAGCAAATACAAGTTAACTGTGGTGTTGAGTTCTTGGAATGGAAATACTAAATTTAAGGTATGAGGAAATATTATGAAATAATCCATATTTGGAAAGATGACGCTGGATGTTATCAATGCGGACCTCTCTATAAATTGATTCCAAGATGAACACACCAATGGTTCTGATCAACGAACCGTCATCGACAATCAGTCGTACGACTCCTTGAACTACCACAAACTGAAGAAGACAAAGAACTTCAGTAAGGCAACAACATTTATTTTTCACACACAACGTACACACAAAGTTCTCGAGTGACACACACTTTTCAAGAGAGAGAAATAACATCATCAAATCCTTTACCTCGCCATACGTACACTCACAACACTCGCATCAAATGGATTGGATTCAACACACATATTCTAATCAAGGAAAGGCAACACTTTTACCACATGTAAGCATATCGATACGAATAAGCAGCATAAGGATACGAATATCCATAATAATAAGGATAAGCATAACTATATCCAAAAGAATATGGATAGGTGTAAGCGTATGGGTAGGCATAGGTGTAGGCATAAGGATACGAATATCCATAATAATAAGGATAGGAATATCCATAAGTATAGGGAAAGGCATAGCTGTAACCATACGAATAAGGATACGTGTAGGCATAACGATACCTGTAGCCATATCCTGGATACACCCACTCAGATTTGGCGTTCACTCCTATCACGAGAAGGATGAGAGCCAAGACAAGGAAAAGGAGGAGCTTTTTCATGGTGATGGAGACTGACAAGTGGCACCTGCTGGTTTCTATTGTTTTGAAAACAGTTGTTTTTTTGATTTGTAGAATGATGAATGGGGTGGACTGGAGCACTGGCCTGGAATTTAAATCGGGAGTGAACAAGTTCACCATATATGTGTAATGTCCAAAAGTTATCGAGTGAATGGAGAGATCTGAGAGTGAGATTGGGAATTTACTAAAACAGAAGAAGAAGAAGATTGCGTTTTGTGACGATCAAGTACGATCAAACATGAGTACCCATTCAAAAGAAGTGAGTTTCAACGGAGATGAATTTTCATGTGATCAATCGAGTAATTTCCCAAAATTGTAATAACTAAGGTGGGAAAATGTAAGTCCATTGTTCGAGTTCTTTGTTGTTGTCCTTCCGCATTGATCTTGCATTGTATAATAATCAGCGTGCGGAGTGGCACCTGTTAAGAGTGTTCAACCTAGGTTTAATTGTTATTATTATTATTATTTACAACAACCACCTGTGTGGGAGGTGGCTGAGCCACAGGTTGTGTTTGTTGAACAACCACCACCTTAGTGGTTCCTTGTTCTTTGGCATTAAGGGTGTCCACCATTCCGGGAATGAGGCACAAATCAATAAGTTGTAAAATTCCAAATATACCACCCGTGAGTAAAGAGATAATTCCGAGTAGGATTGAATCAAGGTAGAATCGATGGATGCCACAAAGTCCAATACAACAAGCTAACCATAAAATATAGGCCTATCGGAATGAATCGAAAAGGTTTTACATGATCGAAAGGAGATCACATCAACAGCTTGAATCATACAACGAAAATACAAAAATCAACATACAACAAGCATGCTCCTCATGATGAAATTTCGACGAGATGAGAAGTAGATCGGTAAGGGTACAAAGACAGTTATTTTTTTGCGAGTGGAAATGTACTTCGAAAGAGCGGGGTGTATACAGTGAACTTTTCTCTCCCTTGATCAAGACCATAAAGCATATTAATAGAAAAGTAGTTTTTGAGCGACTGTAGTTTAGTGGCAGAACGTCTGTTATGTCGGGTATCAGAAGGCGTGCGTTCCGAATCCCGCCAGTTGCGAAAAATTTTATTCCCCACAACAACACTCTTCAAGCTTGAATCCAAAGCTGCTCGAGCATGCAAATGTACAGACACGTCACAAGAATGATGATCCAGTAATGCAAATGGAATTGTTTGCAAGGCAATGCAAAACTCTCACAAATGTACTGTATGGAGGGAAGTTGTACTTTTGTGGAGGGATTTGGAGATTTGATCCCTGGTGTAGAAGAAAAACGAGGTGTCATTCGTTCTATCAAGTCAAACGCTCTTGTGCTTGTGGACATCATATTGGACGAGGCTGCAACTGCCTGTAAACTCCTTAAATATTTTCTGTCATTCGTCATGCTATGATCAGTACTCACAACATCAATTAGGTTTTCTTGCATTATGCCATTATGATGAATGGAAAGTTTCTTAAGGGTGGGCTTGGAGATGGTTGCGACCTTCCTGGTACTCAATGTTTGCAAAATTGGAATATCAGCATTCACCAAATAGGTATCTACTGCAAAGAAACATCTCTTATCTTGTCCAGTTAAAAGTGGATCCAAGAATAAACTAAATGCATAGATGTGCCTTAATGTACCCCAATCAGAAATTCCTAAAATTTCTTCTGGATAGGTAAGATTAAATCCATACTTGACATCTGTATCATTACTAACAGTTCCGTTGATAATTAACTGCTTTTGATAGGTCATTATGGTAGAATCGAATTGTCTGCACTGATTACTAGGAATGGCCTGTAAATTCTTAGTGCAACATATGAAAACATTCCACGGTGCAACTTGTTTAGAAGATGGAATGGGTGAAAGACCACCTACACCAGTTTGCACAATGATCGTGGAAACTTTTACATACATGAGACTGTCATTGTAGAATTGTGTTTGTGGTGGACTGGTTGCAAAATGATTATCGAGATAGGTGTCAATCTGTGTATCAAAATTCAGCCCATTGTTTCCACCATTTCCTGCATTATCATTATTTGGAACAATGTATTGCAATGCAAAGGATAATTGATATAAGGTCGATCCTGCTTGGCCACTTACTTGTGACTCAAAGCTAACCATGTAGATTCCACTGAAGTCATCACCAGGATTAACCTTATTAGATGCCAAAGTTAACTTCCAATATTTTGCATCAGATTTGACATCAATAAGAATTGGATATCGCACACCAAAATATTTAGGACCTATCACATTCCAATTGAAAATATTGGCATTATTGAGGCCTGCAATTCTCACCGAAATACCAACTTCAATTTGTGACGAATCTGAGACTACGAGTCGAGTAGGAGCGAGACTAATTTCTGGATGAGCTGTTGAAGGAATGGGTTGTAACGAGAGATCCACCTGAGTAATGATCACTTCGGTGAACGGTATGGTTTTACATGTGAATGTGCTTGCGGTTAGGTCATAGAGCATGTATGAAGTGAAAATAGTTGTTTTTGCATCAATATAGACTCCAGCCATATTTTTAACAACCTTCGAGTCTGATAAATGATCTCGCAAAGGACGTATCAAAACAAAAGTCTGAGAATAGGAGCTGTCTTTCACCAACACAAAATTGTCTGACAAGGCATTCAACACAATACTACTTGAGGTCTGACATAGAGTGTCACTCTGTAAGGCAACATGAAAAGAAGCCGCAGGTGATCCATCTAAATCCAAATTCCTCTTGAACATGGTAACTTCAAAATATGCATGAGTAGAATTGGATCTGTTGATAACAATTGGTTTGGGAGCTGAGGCCGAAATTGTAGTCCAAGTGAGAGGTAAGGCTGGCTCTGACCATCTAGAATAAGTCACTTGAGCTGATGAGACTGTACTGTTGACAAAGACAATTCCCGAGGCTGTTTGAACGGTGCCTTGAGCAATCACATTGTATGCAGGATACTCAATGGGAGAGTTGATGTTGCTTGTTGAACCAACAAAACCATCTGGTATGAAGAGAACCTTTCCTTGCTGAATATCGTTGGAGGTGAAGGAGTTGACGAATAGAGATACATTTCCGTTTCGATATTCGAAATGTCCTCCTCTCATATTCAATATAAAGAAGTTGACATTAGTGAGGGTTGATCCCGAGTTGGAGGATGAAAGACTTGCCGAAAGATCGGTGGCTGTTATGAATTTGGCTGTAAAACCTCGAGAGGTGAGCTTATTGTTGGTGATTACTAGTGATGGTGTTTGGGCATTTACTGGCCGTACGATGAAGAACGTGAATGAGACGAAGAGTAGTACATGAAGGTTGAATTGTAGCAGAAAATTGAGTAATGTGGATGATGATCCCAACTTGCAATGCTTTTTTCTTGATGAAGCACTATTCTTTTTCGGAGAAGACATGAAGGCAGCTGTTGATATGTAATATAATTTAATATGTTGTTGATGGCACGGTGATAGTGAGGCTGTTTGGTCCAATGTTAATGCCGATGATGATTGGTCAATCACAATGCACAGCTCATGGAAAAATCCTGTGGTTTGGGCTTTTATTCCTTCAAGTTTCTTCTTCGGTTATTCGTTTTGGAGATTTGATAATAGAGTTCTTGATCCAGGAATAATAACGGCCAAAAGTGAAGGATCTTGCCTGTCCATCCATCTTTGGTGTGTTATTATTCCTGGATCAAGAACGATTATCAAATCTCCAGAAACGCCTGTCCGTCCGTCTTTTATGTTTTTTGGTGTTTTTGGGTCCATTCTTTTTTCGAGAAATGATCGAATTTTGATGTTGCACCAGACAAACATTACATTTTTGTTTTTTTTCTCAAATAAATAATCAGCGATGATTGTCCATCAGTGGCTTATTGACGAGGTCAATAAAAACAAGTTGGATGATGATCCTTCATTGAGGAAGTTGTCGGGATGTGTTAATGCAAAATATTCAAACCAACAATCCTTCAGTTCAGTTCGATTCAATTAGTTTCAAGTGGTTGAAAACGGGCAGATTCAGTTAATTTCAAGTGTTAGGTGGTGGGTTCCATGAGGTACCAACCTCTTGAGGAGTCCTTAGGTGATGCAATGAAGAAACTTGAAAGAAAACCCTCCACCACCCTGCTGAAAAGAACAACAACAGGAAGGCCTTTGTATTTCTAGATCACTCCAAACAACAACAACAACAGCACCAATGAATAGTTTCCTGTATAACACACCTACTAGCGTTAATTTAAAGAAGGTTGCTCTCTCTTCATGGACTGGAGAAGAATGTAAGTATTCCTATGATCAGGATCTTGATTCGGAACGAGTTCAATATGTATCTATTATTGAAATCGCCAACAACGAACTTGAATTCACTGTACATTGATCCTATGATAATCATCATATCCTCCCAATGATGATTGATATTCGTACTCTCATCATATCTCCACCCCACATCAGTACGAACATTCCTCACTCAGAAATCACTTCTCCGAATCCTCAACAACATTTCTTCATCGGCTCAACTCTCCAACATGTTCTCTCCAGAAAAGACTCCCTCACTCTATGAAAGCCTCAAGGACTTGATTGCCTATTGCTACTGTTCTCGATCCAAATTATCAATCATGCAAAACCTCAACAAACTTTCATCCTGTTGTGCACAAGCTCTCCTCACGCAACAACAATCAAGAGGAGGTCCCAGCGGTTGTGATATGGATGATGAGTATGACTCCTCCTCTCAGCACTCTCAGATGATAATGTTCAACAATAGTCACAACGATATTCGCACCACCATTCAACAGGTTGCCGTTCAAAACTTGATGAAAGCCTTCCCTGAATTGTCTCAAATGGATGCTGTGGAATTGGTGGCTGCTTGCACAGATTTGCTCATGCAATGTCCTTTGGACATTTCACAGATCCACTAAAACCTTCAATATCATTCTCTATCAAAACAAAAGTTTTGCTTGGATTGATAGAGATTTAGAAGAGAAATGGAAACAGAATCATTCGTAGTGGGTAGTCCAAACCAGCACTCACCCAAATGATTGACATCACAAAGAAGGTTAATACCACTACCGTGACATCACAACAATAAGATTCATGTAATAACAATAATAATCAATTGTATCAATAATGACGTTTAATAATATAGTGTTTGTTTTCGTCACAATCCAAGTTTCATTTACAATCCACCAAATCCTATCACCAAAAATTGTGGAGGTGCAATACAATTTTATCTTGATTTTGGTGTGTGTGACTCGAGTGAGTGCTTGCAAAAATCTCGGACACTTACGGGATGTTTCAAATTAATCTCTGGCTCTAGCTGCTTTCTTCAACATGGAATCAGGAACACGATAACCCTTCTCCAAGTGCCATTTTGTTAATTCCTCATTACTCAATACCGTATGTGCTTCAGAAATTAATGCCATCTTTTTGACGCACACCTCACCACAATCAGGGTTTCTATCGGGGTGCCATTGTCGAGTTTGTTTTCTAAAGGCTTTCTTGATGAGTTTGAGTGGAGAGCCTTTAGGAACTTCCAAAAACTTCAAAGTAATCAATCTTTTCATAGATATCCTCTTCGTTCACCATTGGTGTATTCTCCGATGTAATCTTCATGAATGCAACAGCAGCAATTAATAAAACAATACATGCAATCATGATTTGAGCAAAAGTAATTTCCAATTGCAAGAAGGGTATTTTGAACGAAGAACGAGAAGAGTTATCTTTTGATGAAGGAGATTTTCCTACTCTTCTTCTCTTTACTCCGAATGGATTATGAACAATACTGTTTTCGGCTGCTAGGTTCTTGGAGTGATTGGATGGATCACTTGCGTACATATGAGCCTGTATATCATCAAATAATAATAAACGAGCTGTTTCATGAAAGAGTCTATCCTCCAATACAATATGACGTTGCTCATCGGTTTTTTGAGCATCTTGATCCGACGATGATGATGAATTTTCAATCTTCTTTGGTTTGGCCATTTTTTTGTACTTGGATGACACGAATAAATTGGTTGGAGCTTATTGCTGGTTGAGAATTAGCTCAGCTTGTGTTATCCATTTAAATTGCCTAGAGTTTGCATAAGACTGTATAATATAGCCGATCTTCTCTGGAAAGTGATGAATTGGTGGATTGAAATGGTACAAACAAGAAGAATACTAAGCTTTAGAAATTTAAAATTCGTCTTGATTAGTTTTTGAATATTTCTTCATCATGACTTCTGGCACTCTCAAACCATACACGTTGTGCCATTTTGTTAAATCTGGATTTGTCAAAACCTTATATGCTTCGGAAATGAGAGCCATTCGCTGTGCACACTCCTCTCCACAGTTGGGATTTCTGTCGGGATGCCACTTTCGTGTCTGTTCTCGATGTGCTTTTGAATCTCACGCCTGGAGGCACCTTTTGAAACTCCCAATACTTGATAATAATTGACTTGATCCAAATCATACATGGATTCATAATAAAAAGAATTTTCGGATGATTTTAAAACAGCAGTGAGAGCAATAAATCCAACAATAAACGTAATCATCACGTGTGCAAACGTAATTTTGATATCCAATAGTGGTATTCTAAATAAATAATTATCGGAATTTTCTTCTTCCTTCTTTTTGTCTTTTTTTCTTTGCTTTCTCCTTTGACTCGCTATTATCATTTTCTTTCATGGAATAATTTTCTGATTCTTCTTCCTCCGAGGATTTCATTTCATTCATGATCAATTCCTCTTCATTATTGTCTTTTTGCTCCTTTTTT